ATATATATATATATATATATATATATATATGGTAACCACAAATTAACCATGGTTTTACTACAATAACCATAGTTGCCATCAAGATGCCAAAAAACATGGTTACTGCACTTGTACTATAATAAAACCATGGTTCATTTTCGCAAAGGGGCCCATTTCCAGCCCTGCCCATATCACAACTGAAAGCTGACCAAACACAACAAACTGTTTTCTGTAAGCCATTCCTCTGCTGTGCCAGTATGAGTGAAGTCATTTGATCCAGCTGCAGGACACAAGCCATTTCATTTATTAGGGACAGCAGTATGACTGTGAGTTTAAATGGCTTCTATTGTTCTGTTGTGCTCCCCACTCACCCACACACACACACAGCTGACACGGCTCTATCACTACATGTACAGAACATTTGGCTGGATTGTTGAATACAGGGAGATGGACACAAAAAGTTCAAGGGAAAGAGATACAGCTGTCATTCCTTGTTGTAACACTCCCACAGATCCATTCATCATCAGCCAATCAGTGTTCAGCAAACAGGTACTGTGACAGATACCACACCTATGACAGGCACCAGCACGTGGAGGAAAGAGCGAGACAGTCTAGACGGCGTCTGTAGGGGTGTAAGGAAGACTGTCGTCAATTACAAGCAGAAAAAAAAGACAGGGACTGGTTCAAGAATCTGAATGCAATTCATGTGGATTCTTTTGGAAAGGGCACTGAAAGTTTAGATCAGCAAGGAAACAACATAAGGACTCACTGTCTGAGAAAAGGAGAGACGCAGAATAAAGAGTGTGGAGGATGGACTCATGGCTGAATGAAGTCCAGAAGCATCCAGCCCTGTATGTCTTGTGCTGTTCTGTAACCTTCAGGATCCTTCACAGGTTCCTGCAGACTGTGCCCAGTCCCGGGACAGTGGACACAGACCCCTGGAGGACTTGGAAATGGAGGAACCTCTCAGTGTCACTCGTCCACTCACTGCTGACTGGCATCTGGGCCGTTACCTGGTGAGTTGTTTTTGTTTATCATTAATTTTTTTCACACACACACACACACACACACATATATATATATACATGATCAATACTTTGTCGAGTTTTCCAGTGAAAAATATCTATACATCATTAAAATGCTATTAAATAATTTAATTGTAATTAATTTTTAAATTATAATTTTACTTGAGAGGCAAAAAACTTGTTTTGGAGAACATATCTTGAATCATGTTTTTTGTTGTTGTTTTTTTCCCTGTTAGTTATTTTTCTTTTTGTAGGCATGAAATAAATAACATTTTGTAAGATTTATGCTTTGACCAAAAAAATCTGAAAAATGAAATAATTTTATACGATATATTCACAAGACGTTTGAATATTTTATACAATTTTGAATTCTGAACAATTGTTTTAACAATTTTCTTATATACTTATA